TACATCAGTTGTCATAACCAGGATCTGTTCAAAATGTTGTTTGCACATTTCGCTGTCGTATCCGCAGAAGATATTGTCTGCCGTTTAGTTGCCCGGATGTGTCTGCGCCAGATCTTCATATAGTTCTCCATTCATCACAGATTTACGTCCCAACAACAAGGTGATGATCGGTTGACAACTCTGCGCCTCTCTTAACGCGAACACTCATAACAGAGCGTCTTAAGCGGGACGATATGATTATCAAATCGATTTTCGACTTCGACTTCTACCCTGTACTAGGCATACTGATGCATGCCTTGGTGGTCGAAGAAGGTGTTAATAATGGACATCACGTTGCTTGCACCAAGCCACAGCTACTTCATGCCGTTATTGTTGAGGTCGATAAGGCAGTTCTCTAAAATCACGCCTTTCCGCTTTTCACTGTCTGTACTGATATGCGTGTTAAAATCGCTCATTAGAATGACGGACTTCGTAATCAACATTTCGTACGGAGGGTGGTCCACTTCCTCAGCGAAGGACTCATATTCTCGCTGCAAATTGGACGTACAGACCTGTAACAATGTCAAAGCTTTAGCCTGTTGTGAGAATATTGCTACCTTTCCACTAATAAGCTTTCAATCAATAATTCTATCGGCGAGATTGGGTTCCACCAGAACATTAACAATGACTTGAGCGCGCGTCGTGATATCGAACCTGAGTAGAATAGCTTCCACCCCCTGAGATTGATAATTCCAGAGTTTTGGCGCTTTGTTAACGAGAGTTCAGCAATGTCGAGTTGATACATTATGGCCTCATCACTAACTCTTCTTCTTTTCCTCTGAGTGAGGATATGTTCCAATTTCCGTTTTTAAGCTCCCGTTGGCGGTGTCGCTCTCATGGGCCCTTTTATGACGTGCTATAAAGGCAATGCTGTCTGCATCCCCCGTTCAGTACGGGTAGCGGCTCCGTTACTGACTGGTATCTTCATCGTCGGTTCGTCGATCTTCGTCAGCCGTTGTTGTGCTTCTATGCCCCTGGCTGGCAGAGGGCGATGAGCAGGTTCTGATCGCCAGCTTCTCGGCACCTGTCTCTGTCTCCCAACAGCCTGCGCGGCTCTTGGCGATCTGAACGACGACGGTCAAATGAGTATAATGTTCCATGAAGACAGTACCATGAGGGGCAGGTGGTTAAGTTTTGCGGAGTATTCGCCACGGCCTGCAACTCTCCTTTTTTCAACCCGGCTTGACACCGGCGATGGCGGAGTTATATT